GGAACAAGCGGAGACTCGCTGGAGACAGCCAGACAGCCACAAGCCACCCCAGGTCGAGCTTCCCGTCTCACAGCTGCGGCACCGCTCACTCTCACGCTGCTCAACGTCAACATCGAGCGCCACCAAAGTTGTCAGGTGCGGGACAGCGGCCCCCGAGACGCCCCAAACGTCCCCATTGATGATGAGGTTAAACACCTTCCCCCCCCTTTCCTCTCATAGAACTTCTTTCGCACCGTACGTAGCCAACCGTGCTAAGCGGCAATTAATGCACGTGCAGTGAGCGACTTCCCGTGACACGTCGAGTAGTGAAGGCTTCTTATTTATTAAGAGCACGCTTGGCGTAACACTTGGTAACACTTGGGCTACACATAGGCGAGCCGAACACGCAGCCCATCTCCGTCGTCCACCACGCGAGCTGCGTAGCGGCGGCGACGGAGCTGGTCTCGCAGAAGAACAGCCACGTGGTCGAAGACGAGGAGAGCCACGTGGTCGAAGACGACGAGAGCCACGTGGTCGAAGACGAGGAGAGCCACGTGGTCGAAGACGACGAGATGACGACGAGCAGCAACGCAGCCAGGACCCGCAGAACAGCTCTACCTCTGGCCACGCCCCTTTTCCAGAACCTTCAGGCTGGTTCCAGGAGCTTCTCGACCGACTCCGCCCTTCACCTTTACCACAGATACGCCCCCCCCCTCCCCCTTATAATGAGGCGTTACGTGATGCAGCCGTAACCGTAATTACCCCTTGAGGCCGGCAGGTGTCACCCTGTCATTACATCACGGGCGCAGGTCCTGCCGCTCCACTGCTGGACGAGGGCCTCTTTCCACACGATGTGGTTGGTTTATTGGCCACGTTGGGCAGAGCGGGTTGGTGAACGGTGGGGAACATAGACGCTGGAGCACAGTACAGTACAATTAATTTAATTGCACTGCCCTCTGCTGATGATACCCCCCCCCCCCACAACACCCGCTGAATGGAAGTTGCCCATCCATGCACGATCGTCTCGTGCTCCACACACGGCCACGTTGAGCTTCCGAGATGTGGTGATTGACAACAGTAAGAATAATACCACTAAAATAACACAAGGACATCATGGTACGTCTCTCATCACGTCCGTTGCTTGGTCATAGATATGTGAATGTTTACTTAAAATAATGACTCAAATTGCACTGTTTAATTCATCCAATGGAAGCTACGTGATTGTTTCATAGCATGTGTTAATACATTGTATTCTAATAAGTAGTGTATAAAGTACTTTATTCTAAATTAAATAAGTCGGCATTTGTGTTGTAGTATTGCTCTGTTTAGTATATACCGTGTTTCATGATGAACAACGTACGGTAAAATGTTGACGTAAGAGACCCATTTATTTTCCGGACAGTCATCGATCCACGCACCCTTTTCCACCCCCACAGCCGACAAAGAAAGCCGCTCCTTTTTCTGCCACGCAACATTTGATCTTCAAAAAAATGCGGAATGTTTGAAGCTTTTTATATACACACACGCACTCAAAGGTTGCGACGGTAAACATCTCAGCTGTGGGTGCTTACTGCCTTCTCGGCAGCCGGAGAACCAAACGGATGGACATCTCCAGCAGCAATTCGCCTCTCTCAGGGCGCAGTTTCCCACGTCAACACGAGGCAAGGTCACTGTTCAGCTGAACACGCCGTCGTCATAGTGGTGGTGGTAGTCGTAGTGGGCTTTCGCGACCATTACTATCCATGATAGAGGGGTTTTTTTTGGGGGGGGGGGTAGGAGGTTATATCGCGTAAATAGAAATACGTCGTTCAACCCGCCACCACCTCCCTACGCAGCCAATTAGTAATGTTTGTCACGTAAACAACACGTGCCAATTCGGACACTCGTTCAGCACGCCACCGGTGTGTGTGTGTTGGAGAGTACCTGGCGCGGTGTGTAAACATCGTCATTGGGGAGACAAAGGCGGTCGGGCGTGGTGCTGGCCACCCACCCCCTCGTGTACCGTTCCGGCCTTCATAGGTGCTGCTCGCTAACAGCACTTGCCCCTACAGTCTGTTAAGGCTACACGGAGGTGGTTTGTTGGCGAGTAAACCCACGACAACAAGGCATCTCACGCGAGATATTCACAAGCCCACGTCTCCGTGCCCATTGAATCCACGCCGCTGCCCGCACTCACGAGAGCCGTCGCAGCAAAGTGTGGCACGTGGGGGTTGCACTGCGGATGGACAAACACGTGGAGGCCTGTGGGAGGCGAGGCGACCCCACGCCGAGGTGGCACGAGTCGCCAACCACGAGTCCCAGAACTCGTCGCTGCGAGGAGCAGCAATCGAAACGAATTTGGGCTCTCACAAGCGCAGTCTTCACTCGGATCGCCTTGTCAGCAATTTGAATGCCCCCCTACGTTAAATAATTTAGCTGCCACATTCCCCGTATACCAAAGTTGACAGACAAAACAAGCCGATTCTCTGTGGATAACACGAGACCAATGGTACAAAATGCTGAGTCAAGCAAGCTTGGTCCTGTATATGGATAAGACTATATTTATTTTTTTTAAATCAATTTATGACAGCACTATCATGGTTTACATTCAGAGTATGTTTTCCAAAACTTTATGTTGACTAAATATAGCAATTTTAGTTTTTGTTAAATATCGAATGGCTCGTTGAGAGTTGTTTGTGGCCAACCCCCATTGGCAAATGCTTGCGAGGCCAAGTTCACTTCCTTGTGTACATTGCGGGCACACTGCGACCCTGGACTTCAAGAAGCAAACACATGAGCGAGAACGTAGCCACAACAGAGTTGTTTTCACGCGAGCCTCGCCCAATTGTTGTCTGGAACGCGAAGCTTTTCGTGCAGCAAGTGAGACCGAGGCAACACAACAGCAGGCACAGAGACACGCAAAACAAAGGGACCCGCAGCGGTTTGTAATTAGTGCGAGCTCGCTGCATGCTCGACATATCGTTTACGAGCGCGGACATTCACGCACAAGCACAAAAAAATGAAACGCGAAATAAAGTACACCGAGCGGAACGCCGCAGAGACGAATGCTTGGAATAACACCGAGAGACAACAAAAAGATGAACACATGGGTCACGTACTTATGTTGAACTTGGAACACGTGGGTCACGTGCTTACGTTGAACTTCTTCTTTCATACCGTACGTGGCCAACCGTGCACATCGGAGTTGCGGGAGGACAACAAAACTAAACGCACACAAATCAGTTATTTAACAAATTCGATTTCAATCTCGATGATGATTTAAAAGTGCATCGCTCCCAGTTGCTTCCTGATATCGGAGGGAAGAGCGTTCCAGACGGCCGCAGACGCGCGTCTGAAAGCGCGCGACGCAGTGACCACCGCCTTTGTTCGATGGCTGAGCCAGAAGCCGCTGCAGCTGCTGCTGCTGCGAGGATGATCACGGGAATGTCCCGTGATGGTTAAAGACGCAATCCAACCCGTCAATAAAAGTTAGTGGGCTTGGACAGGACAAATAAAAATAACCGAGTGGCAGCCAAAGGATGGAACGTGGCCGAGAGAGCTCGTCAGCCAGGGGAGATGGAGCGATGCAATCGTCACGGGGGTGCAGGAGGAGCTGGGTTGGATTGTCACGTCGCACAACAACGAGAGATGGCCTGCAGCTTGGGGAAGCGTTCAGCCAGCGCCAGATAGAGCAAGGCTGGTGACGAATGGGGAGATTCTGGGGAGAGCTGCAAGCCAAGGCGCTGCTGACCTTCAGTGCTCAGCATCCAAACATTCTATTTGTAGTGGCGGTGGTGGGGCCCCTCTTTGAGGTGTACCGAAAATCACGCGCACACATCTTTATGCATTCGTTGTGACATCGTTTATTTTTGTTTGAAGCGTCTTGACGAAGAAAATAGGTTTGACATTTCTTTTCAATGTAGGGTCCGACGGACGTACGAACACGACTCGAGGCGAAGATGTTTGAAGCGAGGGCCCTGCACAGCTGAGACACGTGGCGGTGGGGGCCATTCAGAGCGTCACTTTCCGAACCGGTCAGCGTCGCAAAAAGCATGCGGATCAAGCATTGACTTGGTAAAGGAGGAGGAACAATGACGAAGGCCGTGCCAAGTGCAGGGCTTTTCCCAAATGGACAGGCAAATGTCGCATGACTATGCGACATTTGCCTGTCGCATAGTCATGCGAAGGCCAGTTAGGCCTTCGATCTGTACGCCTTGCAACAAAAAAAGCCTGTAATTACTGCAAAGACATGTTCTTGGTTCTTTCGGTAAAGTCACGTCGAAGGGAAACAATAAAATAATATATAAAACAATAAAATTCTCACGACGTTTCGACTGTAACACATGATGATGACTGTTTGTGTTACAGTCGAAACGTCGTGAGAATTTTATTGTTTTATATTTTTATTATGTTATTGTTTCCCTTCGACGTGACTTTACCGAAAGAACCAAGAATATGAATTACTGCAGTCACGAAAGATTTCAATCAAAATTTACTGCAAAGATATTAGATGTGCATTATGTAGCTGGTTATACTCTGCTACTTGAAATGAATCATTAGCAAGGATCTACTGCTCTTTGTCAATCCACTGCTGAAAGCCTCCCCCACACCGCGTCAGTCAAGGGGGTTGTTTGACCATACTTCACCGTGCTGGTCAGTGGGTTGAAGCAGGCGATTCTACAACTGCTTCAGATATCGCTCTTGAATCGCATTTCTGCGTAAAAAAACCATGACATCAAAAGTGCTTAATTGGTACACTTGAAATGCACTCCTTCTATAAAGGAAAGATTGTGAGTGTGTGCGTTATAACCCAGTGAATGTGCGTGAGACCAGATTTGCATCACTTTATTGGGCACAAGCATTGCTTTGCGTCTTCCTTGCCAGAGTGACCAAGGGGGAAACCGCAAACTCGGTCTGGTAAATGGACAGGAGGCGATGTGACCGATGCATTGATCCCAGGAGGTCACTGAGTGACGGACTGAGATATTTTGCAAATCTCTATTGAAAGTGCGTTCACACCTTCACTCACCACGAAAGCAATGCCACTTCACATCCTTTATTGTGCACGCAGCAGGGGTTTGTCATTTCAGGTGCATGATCTTTTATTTTTTAATAAGTACTGTAACCGAATTTTTAACTAAAATTCAGTTTAATAGAGAAAAAAAACAATTGTTGATGCATCCAACTACAAATGACACGTAAAATTACTAACAAAAAAGACCTGGCAAAAACGTTTATCCACAAATGTTGTGGGTACAAAACAATATTTGCAGAACCGATATCACTCAGGGCTCACAGTTGCACAGCGTGAGGCGAACAAAAAAGTTCCCTCTTGAGTTTGTGCAAATGATTTCCATCAGAGCAGAAATCCGCAATGCAAATTGTATCCAGGGATTTAGTACAGCAGACATTCTATATCTGCATTGGTACTCTGAGGGAAAGAAAAAAAAACAGTATCACAGACATCACAGTTTTAGAAGCAATGTTACAAATAGTAGTGACTCGGCTCTCGGCACACTTAACGGTGATAACGCACACACACACACAGCCATCGTCAATGCATGCTGGGGTGGACAGAGCGGAATTACTGCCGCACTTTAATCTACAGACAACACTTTTCCTAACACATGCACCTTCTTCCTCGTGTTAGTACAAAATTCATTAATCGGCAAGAAGTTGTTGTGGTACGAAATGAGGATCAAACTAAAGTGTTAAAATCATCCTCCTTAACACCAGATATCGATAATCAGAGGGCTTCACGATGCCATCAAACCCAAGCTAATTATTTAAAAAAAACACCACACAAACAAAAACGACTCCACATTGTGACCTTGCACGATATAGATAACCATTTTTAACATAATGCAAAGCAAGCCCATCGGTTCCCTCTGCAAGCTCGCAACATCCACAGCTTCAGGGCCCTGAACAGGCATATATAATGCATAAAAAAATCTTCATTAACAGCAAGACATTGCAAAAATATCCACAGCGGTCTGCAGAGTCTTATATAAAAATCGAAAAAAGGTGTGGATTCGATGGCAACCCCCCTCCTCGAGTTATGTTCGTGAAAAAGTCTTCGAACTGCTTTCTGCCTCAACGAGCAACGTTCAAAACGCTGGGTGCTCGGAATAAAGCGACCTGATTTACCTTTCTTAAACATGAATACCCCCCCCCACCCACCCCTTGCCAAGCACGTGGGAAATAATATTATGCTCGGAAAGGTTAAATACAAAAAAACAAACACTCATTCATCGAGAGAGTTTATGGCAGCATGATTTTAGTTTTCTCAAAAACACTACCCATACGCTGTGCAATTTCTTGCCCCCAGTTCTTTACAAAAACAAGAGTGGATGCTGCACGGGCGCGGCATCGCCATTTTACCGGGCGCGCAAAAGTTAAAGCTGACGGCGACCCGCGACCCGCGCCGCTGTTAACCGTGCGCCGTGCCCTAAGCGGCTTCTCAACCCTCGCCGCCCATCTTCATCTCTCCGCCTCCACGGAGGTGTTGATTTTCGCCTGGTGGCGGCGGCGGCGGCGGCGGCGGTGGTAAGGGTGCTGCGTGGCTCCGGTCGGCGGCATCTGCGGCTGCGCGGGGCAGCAGTCGTTGCCGGAGCGCCGTGCGCCGGGCGCGAGCGAAGCCGTGGTCGCCCAAGGCACGGCGGGGGCGGCGCTCGCCGCGGCGCCGCACGCGGCCGCCGTGCCACCCGCCGCCGGCCCGGGCGGCCCGGGGCTGCCCGTCTGAAGGCCCTCGGAGGCCTTGAGGCGCGAGAACATGGCCAGCGCGTCGGGGAAGTTGGGCGGCGTCGCCGGCGTGTTGGTGGGCGTGCACATCTGCGTGCGACCGAGACAGACGGGAATGCGGCGATCTCGGATCACTTTCTAAATGTAACAAGTTGGATCGACGACAACAATCATCATCATCAAGATCCATGGTCAGATAGCCCCGTCGGTGTCCACTGCACATTGCGTCATTATATTCTTGGTTCTTTCGGTAAAGTCACGTAGAAGGGAAACAATAAAATAATAAAAATATAAAACAATAAAATTGTCACGACGTTTCGACTGCAACGCAAGCAATCATCATCAGGTGTGACTTTACCGAAAGAACCAAGAATATGAATCCCTGCAGTCACGAAAGCTTTAAATTAAAATTTCGTCATTAGTTTCCACTTTCCTCTGTCCTGTGCCAGTATGCTCACATAGTGGCCACATCTGTCTGGCACAAATCTTTTCTGTTGTTGGTGTCAGGCCGTGCTCTGTTAGGTCTTTTCTCTCTTTCCTGTTCCTTCCATTTTTCCAAACAACACACTTTGACTTTTCCTGTTGTCTTCCATCCTACATGTGTGTCCTAATAGTGCCAGTCTCCTCCTCATCACTGCCTGAATCAGGTCGTCTTGTTCTATGCGCAACCGTTTTTTTACGTCTGCGTCGGTCACTCTTTGTGTCCAGCGTAGATGCAGCAGCAGTATCCTTCTGTAGCAACAACATTTCGAGTGCCAATATCTGATTTCCGTCAGTCTTTTTTTAACATCCAAGTCTTGCACGCATACAAAACAATAATAAAAGGTTAATTAGTCAAGCAAAAAAAGCCTCCACAGGTTTTCTTTGTTGTCAAGAAAGCCCTGCATCACGATGATTGGCCAATTGCTCATTGCCGCCGTGTTTAAAGCAATAAAATGCACAGCGTACGGGGTTGTGTTTAAAATAATAATAATAATAATGTCGTCAAACTCTCTAGATGAATGAGTTATTTGCTGTGTTTAAACCCAGGTGTGAACTCATGTTCACGGCAGTGCTGGCTCCGTGCTCTGATCTCTGAGCCAACTGCTCACCCCAGATATTATAACATTTGCTCCTGCATTCAATGCAAGAGCTTCTGACCGAACTGATACTTGGACTAAATGAATGCAAAAAACAAACAAAAGTACATTAACTCAATTAGTGCAATTGGTACACTTAAACTGATAAGTAATGGCTATGGGGAATTTTAATTTTAAAGAAACATTTCAATAAGGTAGTGTAGTAGTATGCAGTAAACACTAGCCATGTCTTATTTATACAGGTGGGTGTTTGTTCTCAGAGGAGGCAATGTGTATTTGCTAAAGGATACAAGGGCACTGTCAAATATACATTTTTAAGAAAAAATGACTATTTCAAAAGGCTGCAAAAATACAGGGCACCTTATATTCTTGCAGGGAGCTCAAACAAATAAAGGGGCGTGATAACAGACAGCTCTGCACCCAAAAGAAACTGGTCTTGTCTTGAGACATTTTCCCAGAATTCGAGGCTGCCATTTGCCACGGAGTTCTAAAACAAACAGCCTCTGTACACAATGTGCTGTCAATGGCCACATGCGTTCAAATCACAGGGCTCATTTACGTCCGACTCACAACACAAGAATGAAAATGTGCCTTAAGCACCGCTGCAGCTAGGCCAGAACAACCTCTACGTATGAGGTGTTAGGCGGAATAAAGCACCACCTTTATAGCGGAATGGCAAAATTGCACAAACGAACGTGACCGTCCTCTGGATATATTAAGCCTCCAGGATTACTTCTGCACAGCAACTAACAGCTCGCAAATTGTAATAAATCACACTTTTCATTCCCAAACCGTGCACTAAATATGCAAATATACGATTTCGCTTGTATTTGTTCTGTACGTAATGTGACTGCATCGCCAGAAGGCCTATTTATGCGTACATAAGTCAATATTTTTAAAATAGGGTGTGTTCAATTTATCAAAAAAATATACTTGAGATAAAAGCAACCGGTTAGTCGTGTTGTTAATCTCATGTGCATTACCTGGTGTGTTCTTTTTGCTCTATAGGCTCACAGGAAATATCCGAATACCACACAGACAAAAACTAAATTCATCCTGACATCATATCTATGATCTTATCAGGAGGCAAGTGGACATTCATATTTGCCCGTAACAACAGCAAATTTGATATACGGCCAAGATTTGTCGTCGAGATTTAAGAATCAATATTTTCCAGGTCGTATTCAGTCTTATTTGTTTTCTTTTCGTTTAGTCATTAATTACTCTGCAAAAGTGCCACTTCATTTGCATAAATGACAAGCAAATCAATTCCCATGCACACGATTCGATGTGGGTGTGTGATACATAGAAAAAATAATCTATTTTGACGGGTGAATAAATGATCGGTGGCCAAGGTACGACAGAGAAATGAATTCTATGCTGCGTCATCGTGTTCATCCAATACTGAAGGCCTCCCCACGTGCTGCCGGTCACGGAGTTTGTTTGACCATACTTGGCATGGCTACTGAAGTAATCCTTGGGCAGAACTGCAACTCGTGCCGTCGGGATCATAGCGCATTGCGGCGATCATTGCTTCCGTCCATACTGCATTACCATACAGTGAACGATTAAACAGAACCACGAGGGTAATCAACTGTAAACTTAACAGCATTATAAAGAGAATAAATATAACTGTGTTTTCGTTAGCTATCTAGTGTAACATTACAACCGTGACCTCCAATAATTGTTGATCAATGTTGTTCCAATGCCTCATTGCTACCCTGAAACTTACAAAGCATTCCAAGTCCACATCTCTCTCTTGCCAAATAATGTAAATAAAGGCGTTGCAACATAAAGTGCCTTCATTCATTTGCCCTTCCTCGCATGTAAACGATGACAAGCTAAAGGTACAGACATCCAAGCAATTGCTTCAAGTCCCTGCTGGTGGAAGAATTTCTTCCAGAGAAGATTTAGACAGCCCAACTCGAGGGTTTTTGGCCTACTCTTCCACGCTGGCCTGACATCTTGGAAGAGATGGGAGCGCACGCACTTTACCCCACCACACGTGACCTTCCTGTGGTCAACCCATTTGCACCTCTGGTGAGACGGGGGGGGGGGTTGCATTTAAGACTCTTGCCAAGGGCACCGTGGTGTCGAGATGTTGACTACCTCGCCAGGTATGCAGGAGGTCGTGGGTTCAATCCCAACCCTGACGCCTGCTGTATATTAGGAGTTTGAATGTTCTTTCTCCCCGTCGTTGCGTGGATTTTTCTCCGGGTCCTCCAGCTTATCCCTCCACATTTATAAACGTGCGTTTTAGAGTATTTGGATTGCAAGTACAGCGTGCTGCTGACCATGACGACCTGGCAGATTAACTTCTGGCATGACACGATATTAATTCCCATCTGCACAGACTCATGAAGTATGTCACCTGCTGTAACCAGACGAAGCCTCGGAGGAAATGACAATAATATGCCAAGTGAATTATTAGTCAACCGTGGCAGGGAGCGTCACGAGTGAAAACAAGAGCCAGAACTATGCTCGGGACTTGTCTAACAACAAAAACAAAGATGCCCCGTGTAGCCTTAACAGACTGTTGGGGCAAGTGTGGTTAGCGAGGAGCACCTACGAAGGCCGGCACGGCACATGAGGGCGTGGGTGGCGAGCACCACGCCCGGCCGCCTTTGTCTCCCGAGTGACGATGTTTACTACACACCGCACCAGGTTCTCATTTGAGGCCCAGTCGACCACACTCACACACAGCTTGACAGTGTTTCTAAATCAATCACAAAGTCGCTGACATGGCCGTTTCAACAGACTGCATTGGAGTCAACATTCCCTTCCTTGTCAAAATTTACCACGTGAAAATAACTAACACAATTGTCTCGCTAATGAAATAATGATCGTACTAAACGGTTGAGTTTATTTGGACAGTAATCTCACTGTGGGGATTTTTTAAGGCCGAAAATAGACGCGGAACACGCTGTACAAAGAAGCTAAACATTTAGTTTTTTTTTACAGCTATATAACGCTGAGATCAAACCTATTTACAGACCATGATGCGACCGAGGCACATTCAGCTGTGTTCATTTATGAAATCAGTGCGGTTCTTGCACGAAATGACATCACATTCAATCGTACTAAACGAAGTCGTATGAACAACAAATGGGCTTTTTGTCAAACTGTAATTTGAAGCGATTCGGTTCCCTCCCATCCAAAACATCTCTGCGGTTTCCAGGCCGTCAAAGACAGTAGCAGGATATCACCGAATGCTGCCTGCCACACAACGGGTGGGCTGCAGAACCATGAAAGGAGGCTGTAACCAGCAGCTGAAGTCATTGGAGGCCATCCGACTCTGTTAATCGGTGACTGCACTGTTGGGAAAGCCAACAGAGGTACCGCGTGGCGCACTTCACGTAACGCCGCTGCCCCTACCAAGGGTTTACGCTCTCGAGCAGAACTTTTTTTGTTGGATGCCCTCTGTAAACACAACATGACCGCTGGCTGGCGATAATGAACCGTACAAAATGGGGGGCCGGCTTCCAGGAGGCTGCGCTGCAGTGCAATGACCCGGCCAGATCACGTGACAAAATATACAACTCTTTACGTATTTTACGAGATTCCTCAAATGCTTGCCACTCTTGGTTTGTCAAATATTCTCGCGATGCGCAAGACAACATTTCTCAACCACCACGTGGAATGATTGATGTCAACGGCAGGTAAAACTTGCACGCTTCATGGGGTAATTGACATAAAAAAATTGTAATTACATTTGGCACTATCATTTTTAATACAGTAAATGGAATACGGTGCATCCCTGCAATGACTTGTTGACGTCACTGCTAGCAGAAAGGTCTCCACTAGACGGAGGTCTAGCAAGCCCCAATACGATGTCGTTTTCTATATTCTTCAGTTTAACACATGGGCTCTCGACACCAATATTATCCATAAGAGGTTTTTTTGGGTTAGATCGTGTAAATATAAATGTGTGGTTAAAACCGCCAATACTCGACACATCCAATTAGTAAGGTTTGTCACGTAAACAAAACATGCCAATTAGTTACGAGTTCAGCACACCGGTGTGTTAGAGAGTAAACCCACCACCACATTCGAGAACCATGATGTTTCGCCGATAATTACAACCAGCCTCATTAGGCAACAGCCAGAGTCATCGCTGGCCAAACGTCATGGAAGTTTGTCGGAAATTCCCACACTTTACTCCACTGCACGCGGTCTTCCGATTGACTAACTGGGATGTACCGATTCATAACTACTGGGTGAACAAAGGCGAGGAAGGAGGGCATTTAAGAAACCTGCAAATCGTTTTCAATTGCCGCGGCCACCGCAAGCATGAACTCGATGACCCATGGATTGCAAGTACAGGTGTGCTCACCTTTACGCCAATTCCAGCAACAAAATCCACACCAACAAGAGGCCACGGAGCTAAGTTTGAAACAAGTTACCGTTTAAAAGTTCTCACTAAATTGAAAAACGACATCTTGAAAGTGAAAACACACTTCCTGTACTTCATCATGGCACTCGACTGACCCAGGGAGCAGAACACGTGTTGAGGGAAATATACGTATACAAAAATAAACACTTGAGCAATGTAATGCTTAAATATTGCAGCTGATTACTTTGCGGAGTGCTGTACCATATAAACAATTGTAATACTTGCTTCAAACTGTCCTTCCATAGACAAAAACTCCATGTTACCAGCACTGTTTACACATAAGGGTGGGTGTATTTACAAAATAATTACTTAACCACCACCACCCCTCCAGCTTAAATGGATCAAGGCGCAGGTGATGATGAACTATGGAAAGAGCCGGTGGTGGTGATGTGCACCATACACATACTGTACTGCCTCTAACATTCAACTGTTGTATACAGAGGAACGTGTACAGTTAGGTTTGATGTCACAGCACTGGCATGCCACACCTTCCTGGCAGTAAAGGCCCAATGTTGTGGGGTGATGCAACCATAATTATACTTGTTATAATGTTGTTATAATGTTGTGCCCCTCTATAGCACACTAGGTAGAAACGTATACAATATAAGCACAACTCTATTCTGTGTCTACATGTTTAAAGTAAAACGTTTCAGTCTATTGCCTTTCCAGATACATTTTATCCTAAACACATTTGTTTAAGCAAGTAAACTCTGTATCGGTTTCGACCTTCTGGGTTTCATCAGCAGAGCCAGGATTGTTAATCAAATGCCGCTTAGTTCTCAAACGTGATTGGCAAGATCACCCCATCTAAACGACGGGGCCCACACCGGGATGTATTGTTGCAAAACACAGCAGCTGCATTCCTCTAAGCACTCCGGCTCCCTCCCACGTTTATACACTGTTAAACAATGCAGTGGGTACAAAAACAAATCATAACAATCACTGTGATGACGCTTTAATATCATCATTATCATCATGAGCCATGGTCAATCCACTGCTGGATGAAAGTCTCCCAAGCCACCACAATCTCGCGCAATCCTGGCGTGTAGCCAATCCACCCTTGCAACTGCACAGAGCTGAGTTCACCGCTTCATCTGATCTCAGGATTCCATTCCTTGGCCGCTGCTCCGTCATTACTCTTGACCATTGGTCCTTTCTAGGGATGGTGATGCATCCTGGGCCGATCTCACTTCCTTTCCTCAACATCTGAACGATGTTATTAACCTGCTGCTGTTCTCCAACCCACGCTGTATTCCTCTTGCGGTCTCTTGATGCAAATACAAACAGCGTGTACTTGTAGTGTTAATTCCACGCTCAGGAATACCGTTACCTTTTAAATGGAAATTGTTGAACACAGCGGGTTAACCAAAAAAAAAAATCGCCGTGTCAGTGATGTTAGCCTACCACTTGGCTATAAATATTCTGGCTCTCAAAATATAACAGAACAAAAACTCCTGTGAAATAAATGTTGCCAAACCAATGCGCGGGTCTAATAATAATAAAAAAAACAATGTCAGTGTATTATTTTGTAATGTGCACTTCGGTTTGCCTGTGTAGAATAATTACGCAATTAAGCGATCTAATTGAATTGTGTAGGCACTTTCAAAACTGGCCATAACTTAATGTTTACATTTTCCTGCTCCATTACATTGTTTGATTTGCTCTTCAGTCACGTGCAAATCAGCTCACGTGGGAATTCGTGCCACGACGCTTTAAGACGAGCCAGCCTTTGAAAAAAACAAAACAAACAAAAGCAGCTTTTTTAAATGCCCCAAAAAATGCACGGGTGGGGGAGGGTTAGACAATGTTTGTCTTCGCAGGCCCTCCCTGACATGGCACGGTGGATGAAAGGGGGCAATGGATTTGGATGGAAGGGGTAGGAAGATCCCAGAGCCCTTTTGCAGCTCACCATCTGGTGAGCGTGGAAGGCGTTGGGCACATTCGCCTCCTGGAAAAACATGCTCAGCGCCGTCTGCGGATGGGGGCAGAGACACAACACGGCAACAGCCCGCCAGCGATTGGCTCAAATACCATACAGTGACTCTACACATTCCTCAATGACACTGCCCTCAAAGGAAAATAAACACTGTACTGTATATTCATAGGTGACGTTTCAGGCAACGGACCTTCTTCACAGCTCATCATACACATTGTTTTCCTTTTAGGGCATATGTTGACGAATGTGTTGAGTGTTTGTTATTTGTACTTGTACACCACTGCCTGTGCTGTACAGTTATCACACATTTTACATTTTGAGTGACAATACAATACAGTGAAAAGGTCAAAGCAACCACTATTTGATGTCTTAACCCAGCGACAAACGACCTTGCCCAATGGTGCTGTTTGTTAATGGGCAGTTTGACACGTTTGGGCATCTGGGCTTGTGGCTCAGAAACTGTGATGTTATTGTACGTTGGGATAATCAGCAAGCGCGGCCATTCAAAATAAGGTGGCACTTTTAAGTCCCTCGTTCCTGGAAATTGCAACATACACACGTGATGAGGTTGAGTATTGTGTGGAGGAATGTTCCTTATGATCTCGTTTCCAGTTCACACACAAGGCAGAATTTGGTCAGGATTTGGGCCTTAGGATTGAACGGGCTTGTAGGCGACCCCAGTACAGTCACTGTGAATTATCCACGATGAATAATGTGGATGGTAATTTAGTGAAGTCAATCGCGTACGAGTCTACATTGTTACTCTAGCAGCATTCTGTTTGGTTGATCAGGCATGCACACTGCAGGACAACAACATCACGTGGTAGGCCACGCCTCTTACACCTTTGCCAACTGCGGCAGAGTCTGCCAGTGGCAATGTGCGGTTGAAAAAAAAGTCACCTCTTGTCTTCTGATTTTCACAGCCATTAGGCTGTACCAGGACCACCCAAAACTTATGTCCACACATTTCCTCTGAGGAAGGGGCATTGCCCGAAACGTCACCTATTGGAATTTCTCACCCCCCGCCCCATTTTAGCGAAGTGTTGCCGAGGGATGTGTTGAGTTTCTGTCCAAAGTTATGGTCAGCGAACTGCTTTTATTTGTCAATGTCTTATAACGCTATAAAAGTCCAACTACACACGGCAGAAAGTTACAAAGACATAACTTCTATGGGACAGGATATGTGATAGATCACGTTAAAATTAAAGTACAGTTGTAAGGATAAAGAGGAATGGAGAGACGCATTCTTAGAATAACATTGAGACGTAACGAAAAACACGTGAGAACATTCTGTACTCGTGTTAACGACAATTCAAGCTGAAGCAAAGTAGCTAGACGGAATCATGGCTGGTGATCAAGAATAATGATCCAGTGGCAGCCAAGAGGATGGAACATGCCCGAAAACACGTCCGTCGAGGGGATGGAGTGATGAAGTCAGCTCTTGTGCCGGTTTAAGGCGACTACATCGTAGACTCGCCAGTGATGTCCGATGCCTTTGGGAGGCCTTCATCCAGCAGTGAATGGATTACGGCTGATGATCGGAGGTCACAATTATGGGCGAGATAGAATGAATGAAGGAGGATATGCAGACGACGATGGAACTGATGGAGAGACTATACAAGATGTTTAGCTAGTAAGATATGTTGAGCTATGAAGAGAGGGGTGAAATTCAGGTGGGGTTGTTTGGATGTAGGAATTGATTTTAATGAAAAATGGCAGTAAGCGGTGGATTACTATGGATTAATTTCCATAGAGATGGTCGGAGGGAGGTCGCGATTTACGGAATATGTAAGCTGATCCAAAGGGGACGGATGAAGGTTGCTCGGGGTGGACGGATCGCGGAGAGGATTAGTCTAAGGCTCTAAGTGAAGGAGAACGGACCTACATTGTGTGACGGCGTCGTTGTTGCACTGGCGTGGAGCGTGGTGGGCAAGCGTGTGTCGTGATGATAGATATAAGCAGTGTGTTGAGAAGGCTGAAAGAGCACACGACAACGGGGTGCCATCGTGTGGGTCAACATGGATGCGGAGGATCACAGGAAGGAGGTGACGGGACGGGCGGGGTGAACCGAAGCTGTACGTGGGGGTGGTGGTGGACACGTGGAGGTCGAGATCTGGATGGGCACCCATCACCCAGTGTGCAGGGCCAGATTAAGGTTCTTGTAGGCCCTGGTCATTTCTGTTTCGTAGTCCTTCATCCTTCCCCTTCTATTGACAATGAGATTGTAAGAAAAGCACCATTTGAAGATGTTATTGCGAATTTTGCAATGAATAAAACATCTCGAAAAGTTCATCTCCGGTGTGAATTTCTCTCTCGCCTTATGAAAAAATAACGATTGACATGGCTCTGCCCCTTCGTATATACACTGTGCCTATCCTTGCTATCTATACATATATTTATTCAAGAAGATATCTTGGTTAACTTTTTTGTTAATCATACAAACGACAACAAACATGGGGCAATCTGTTGTTTTCGTTGGGCCCTTTTAGTTGTCGTAGGCCCTAGGCACAGTGCCGACTGTGACCCTATCGGACAACAACAACGACCGTGGCACGTGGAGGTCGAGACCTGGGGCTGGACACCCGAGGGTGCGAGGTGATGGAGCAGCAGCAGCAGGAGAAGCAGGAGGAGGAGCAGCAGCAGGAGCAGGAGGAGGAGCAGCAGCAGGAGGAGGAGCAGCAGCAGGAAGAGGAGCAGCAGCAGGAAGAGGAGCAGCAGCAGGAGCAGCAGCAGCAGGAGGAGGAGCAGCAGCAGGAAGAGGAGCAGCAGCAGGAAGAGGAGCAGCAGCAGGAAGAGGAGCAGCAGCAGCAGCAGGAGGAGGAGCAGCAGCAGGAGCAGCACCAGGAGGAACAGCAGCAGGGGCAGCAGCAGGAGCAGCAGCAGGAGGAGCAGCAGCAGGAAGAGGAGCAGCAGGAGCAGCAGCAGGAGCAGCAGCAGGAGCAGCAGGAGGAACAGCAGGAGCAGCAGCAGGAGCAGCAGGAGGAGGAGCAGCAGCAGGAGGAGAAGGAGCAGCAGCAGGAGGAGCAGCAGCAGGAGGAACAGCAGCAGCAGGAGCAGCAGCAGGAGCAGCAGCAGCAGGAGGAACAGCAGCAGGAGGAGGAGCAGGAGAAGCAGCAGTAGCAGGAGAAGCAGCAGCAGGAGCAGCAGCAGGAGGAGCAGCAGCAGCAGGAGCAGCAGCAGGAGCAGCAGGAGCAGCAGCAGCAGGAGGAACAGCAGCAGGAGGAGGAGCAGGAGGAGCAGCAGGAACAGCAGCAGCAGGAGCAGCAGCAGGAGGAGCAGCAGCAGGAGGAGCAGCAGCAGCAGGAGCAGCAGGAGGAGCAGCAGGAGGAGCAGGAGGAGGAGCAGCAGGAGGAGCAGCAGCAGGAGGAGCAGCAGGAGGAGCAGCAGGAGGAGGAGCAGCAGGAGGAGCAGCAGGAGCAGCAGCAGGAGGAGGAGCAGCAGCAGGAGGAGCAGCAGGAGGAGCAGCAGGAGCAGCAGGAGGAGCAGCAGGAGCAGCAGGAGGAGCAGCAGCAGGAGGAGCAGCAGGAGCAGCAGCAGGAGGAGGAGCAGCAGCAGGAGGAGCAGCAGGAGCAGCAGCAGGAGGAGGAGCAGCAGCAGGAGGAGCAGCAGGAGGAGCAGGAGGAGGCCTCACCTCGAACTGCCAGCGCGCCGCCTGCAGGAGCTGCGTTGCCTGCTCTGCCGCGCAGCCGGCCGTGAGCACGAACTGGTTGACCATGAGTTGGTGCTTGAGCTCATCCATGTTCGTGGACATGTCCAGGCGGAACGTCACCAGCAGCAGCAGCAGCAGCAAGCGGCAGCAGCGAGACGAGGCTGACCCCACCAATACCGGGCAGAGCTAACCAACAACCACACCACCACGACCACCACTGACACCCACCACGACCACCACTGACAGCAGACACGCACACAGCAACGACAGCACCACCGTCACTGCTATAGCACCACCACTGCTACAACACCGTCACTACTACAACACCAACACTACTGCTACAGCACCACGACCACTGCTACATCACCACCGTCACTGCTATAGCACCGCCACTGCTACAACACCGTCACTACTACAACACCAACACTACTGCTACAGCACCACGGCCACTGCTACATCACCACCGCCACTGCTACAGCACCAACACCACTGCTACAACACCACCACTACTGCTACAGCACCACCGCCACTGCTACAGCACCACTACTACAGCACCACCACCACCACTGCTGCTACAACACCACCGCCACTGCTACAGCACCATCACACCACCACCACTGCTACAACACAACCACCACTGCTGCAGCACAACCAATAATAAATGAATGCTTGGCGCTTCACGCTAACCACGGACACCCACGGCGCCGAAAGGTGAACACGCTACCCCCTTCGTCCCCCTACAGCAAAACACGAAAAAAACACAGCGCCCGGCGATGCCGCTGAAACACGGCGGCAACATGCGGAGAGTCGGTGACGAGTGTGGAGGTAACGAGTGTGGAGGTGTCGGTGACGAGTGTGGAGGTGTCGGTGACGAGTGTGACGATGTCAGTAACGAGTGTGGCGGTGTCGGTGACGAGAGTGGAGGTGTCGGTGTCGAGTGTGGCGGTGTCGGTGACGAGAGTGGAGGTGTCGAGTGTGGAGGTGTCGGTGTCGAGTGTGGAGGTGTCGGTGACGAGTGTGGAGGTGTCGGTGACGAGTGTGGAGGTGTCGGTGACGAGTGTGGAGGTGTCGGTGACGAGTGTGGAGGTGTCGGTGACGAGTGTGGAGGTGTCGGTGACGAGTGTGGAGGTGTCGGTGACGAGTGTGGAGGTGTCGGTGACGAGTGTGGAGGTGTCGGTGACGAGTGTGGAGGTGTCGGTGACGAGTGTGGAGGTGTCGAGAGTGGAGGTGTCGGTGACGAGTGTGGAGGTGTCGGTGACGAGTGTGGAGGTGTCGGTGACGAGTGTGGAGGTGTCGGTGACGAGTGTGGAGGTGACGAGTGTGGAGGTGTCGGTGACGAGTGGGTGGATGGGAGAGAAGCGCTCAGCGATCTAAAGTCCGAACGCGATCAGCAACCTCGACCAGAAACACGGAAGCCAATAGTAGTGCTGCTGAGGGGCCCTGTCAATTATTAAACCTCCCTGGAGAACAACAATAACAAAAACAATAACAACAACAATAACAACAACAATAACAACAATAATAACAACAAAAACAACAACAATAACAACAATAATAACAACAACAATAATAACAACAACAACAACAATAATAACAACAAAAACAACAACAATAACAACAACAATAACAACAATAATAACAACAAAAACAACAACAATAACAACAACAATAACAACAACAATAATAACAACAATAACAACAACAATAACAACAATAACAACAACAACAATAACAACAAAAACAACAACAATAACAATGACGACACGCGTGGGAGGAGGCTCTGTGCGTGGCACGGGTGTCAAACCAACACGCTGCACAGCACCACGAGGACACTCGGCGAGATTCAGTGCCTGCAACTGTGAATAACAACACCGGTATTGTGAATAACAACACCAGTATTGTGAATAACAACACGGGTATTGTGAATAACAGCACCGGTATTGTGAATAACAACACCAGTATTGTGAATAACAACACGGGTATTGTGAATAACAGCACCGGTATTGTGAATAACAACACGGGTATTGTGAATAACAACACCGGTATTGTGAATAACAACACCGACATTGTGAATAACAACACCGGTATTGTGAATAACAACACCGGTATTGTGAATAACAACACGGGTATTAAATTTTGATTTAAAGCTTTCGTGACTGCAGTAATTCATATTCTTAGTTTTTTCGGTAAAGTCACGTTGAAGAGAAACAACAAAATATATATAAAACAATAAAAAATTCTCACGACGTTTCGACCATAACTCAAACGGTCATCATCAGGTGTGTCGGTTTGCATAAATTTATTTTGAAAACGGCATATATATTTATTTATTTATATAAAAATAACGTTTGCGTCACGCGCAACGATTGGCAGTTTGCCCAGGACTAGTCCATCTATTTTTTGAAAAGAGGAGGGGGGAGACGAAATTTGTTTTTATGTATGCTGTCTGAAAGCCACTGTAAGCGTGAACAATCAATCAAGAACTGAAATGATTTATCAAATCTTTCCAATGATTGCTAAGATAGAATCCATCTTCTCGGTTGAAATTGTCTCTGTGCTTGTATATGTGGATAGCCTCATGAACGAATCTCTCATGGAATAACAACACCGACATTTATGCAAACCGACACACCTGATGATGACCGTTTGAGTTATGGTCGAAACGTCGTGAGAATTTTTTTTATTGTTTTATATATATTTTGTTATTTTGTTGTTTCTCTTCAACGTGACTTTACCGAAAAAACTAAGAATATGAATTACTGCAGTCACGAAAGCTTTAAATCAAAACACCGGTATTGTGAATAACAACACCGGTATTGTGAATAACAACACCGGTATTCTGGATTTGAAGCTGATAATCCAAATGAGCTTTTAACCAACGCAACAATTGCACGCGACGATGTTGCAGGCGGCGTGAAGTCGCCTCTCGCCAGCCTTTATAACCACAACCACCACAACCACTACAACCACCACCACAACCACCACCACAACCACCACAACAACAACCACTACAACCACCACAACCACCACCACAACCACTACAACCACAACCACTACAACCACAACCACTACAACCACCACAACCACTACAACCACCACAACAACAACCACTACAACCACCACCACAACCACCACAACCACTACAACCACCACAACAACAACCACTACAACCACCACCACAACCACTACAACCACTACAACCACCACAACAACCACTACAACCACCACCACAACCACTACAACCACAACCACTACAACCACAACCACTACAACCACCACCACAACCACTACAACCACCACAACAACAACCACTACAACCACCACCACAACCACCACAACCACTACAACCACCACAACAACAACCACTACAACCACCACCACAACCACTACAACCACTACAACCACTACAACCACCACAACAACCACTACAACCACCACAACAACCACTACAACCACCACCACAACCACCACAACCACTACAACCACCACAACAACAACCACTACAACCACCACCACAACCACTACAACCACTACAACCACCACAACAACCACTACAACCACCACAACCACTACAACCACCACCACAACCACCACAACCACCACAACCACTACCACCACCACAACAACAACCACTACAACCACCACCACAACCACTACAACCACTACAACCACCACAACAACCACTACAACCACCACAACAACCACTACAACCACCACAACCACCACAACCACTACAACCACCACCACAACCACCACAACCACTACAACCACCACAACAACAACCACTACAACCACCACCACAACCACCACCACAACCACTACAACCACAACCACTACAACCACAACCACTACAACCACCACAACCACTACAACCACCACCACAACCACCACCACAACCACTACAACCACCACCACAACCACTACAACCACTACAACCAACACAACAACCACTACAACCACCACAACAACAACCACTACAACCACCACCACAACCACCACCACAACCACTACAACCACAACCACTACAACCACCACAACCACCACCACAACCACTAAAACCACCACCACAACCACTACAACCACTACAACCACCACAACAACCACTACAACCACCACAACCACTACAACCACCACAACCACAACCACTACAACCACCACCACAACCACCACTACCACAACCACCACAACCACCACAACCACCACCACAACCACCACCACAACCACTACAACCACCACCACAACCACCACCACAACCACCACAACCACCACCACAACCACCACAACCACCACCACGAAATCACGAGAAGCCCCAGGGTGTAATAATTTAACAACGCACACAGGGGAGGACTGTGACACAATAACTACACTCACCAAACACTCACCAGCAGTACCACACCAAACACTCACCACCAGCACCACAGCAAACACTCACCACCATCACCACACCAAACACTCAACACCAGCAGCACACCAAACACTCACCAGCAGTACCACACCAAACACTCACCACCAGCACCACAGCAAACACTCACCACCATCACCACACCAAACACTCACCACCAGCACCACAGCAAACACTCACCACCATCACCACACCAAACACTCACCACCAGCACCACACCAAACACTCACCACCAGCACCACACCAAACACTCACCACCAGCACCACAGCAAACACTCACCACCATCACCACACCAAACACTCACCAGCAGTACCACACCAAACACTCACCACCAGCACCACACCAAACACTCACCACCAGCACACCAAACATTCACCACCACCACCAGCACACCAAGACACTCACCACCAGCACACCAAACACTCACCACCACTACCACCAGCACACCAAGACACTCACCACCAGCACACCAAGACACTCACCACCAGCACACCAAGACACTCACCACTAGCACACCAAGACACTCACCACCACCACCAGCACACCAAGACACTCACCACCACCACCAGCACACCAAGACACTCACCACTAGCACACCAAGACACTCACCACCACCACCACCAGCACACCAAGACACTCACCACCAGCACACCAAACACTCACCACCACTACCACCAGCACACCAAGACACTCACCACCAGCACACCAAGACACTCACCACCAGCACACCAAGACACTCACCACCAGCACACCAAGACACTCACCACCACCACCAGCACACCAAGACACTCACCACCAGCACACCAAGACACTCACCACTAGCACACCAAGACACTCACCACCACCACCAGCACACCAAGACACTCACCACCAGCACACCAAACACTCACCACCAGCACACCAAACACTCACCACTAGCACACCAAGACACTCACCACCAGCACACCAAGACACTCACCACCACCACCAGCACACCAAGACACTCACCACCACCACCACCAGCACACCAAGACACTCACCACCACCACCACCAGCACACCAAGACACTCACCACCACTACCACCAGCACACCAAGACACTCACCACCAGCACACCAAACACTCACCACCACTACCACCAGCACACCAAGACACTCACCACCAGCACACCAAACACTCACCACCACTACCACC